ACCCTGAACACTGAACCATAAACCCCAAACCCTATGTAACCCAAATACGACCCCTACATAACCCTATATAATATAATATAGTATAATATACTATAATATACTATAATATAATATAATATAATATAATATAGTAGTTTCCATCTTTTTTTCCCCAAACCCTTCGCTTCAGGTCCCCGAGCCTGCAGCAGGGGCGCAACCTTGACGCCCAACTGTCGCCAGGCCTCTGAATGAAGCTTAACGGTATGATTTAGGCCTCTGGAGCTTTGGGGTTTAGGGCTTTGGGGTTTTGGGGGTTAGGGGCTTAGGGCCGGAAGTAGAAGTTGAGGGTTTAAAGTTGCAGGTTTAGGATTCAAGGTTTGGGGTTTAGGGTCAAAGGTTTAGGGTTTGGGTATATCAGAAATGTGTAGGGACATTGCCCCGATCATATCGACAAGCAAAACAGAAAGGAACTGGACAAGTCAACTGAGGTTGCGAGGATTAAGACTGAACTCTGGTTTGGGGAATGAGAAAACGAAATAAGGGTTTAGGATTTCGGGTTCTGGGTGTTGGGGAATAAAATATCGAAATAGGGTTTAGGGTGTAGGCTTTGGGGGATCGAAAAGTTGAAGCTACGGCATTGGCGGGGGGGAGTACAGTGGCCGTAACCGCTATGAGGATTCCTTGCTTCATTCCTTGCTTAACCGGAGATAAGTATATAGCCCTACCCAGCGGTTCAGGGGACTTCGTAATTAATAGGGTTTGGGGTTTAGGGTATTTGGAACAAGAGTTGATGCCAGAATCATAATTTATAAGGTAACCCCAAAAAAATCCAGTCACGAGCGTTAGAACCACAGTAGCTGGGTTGCTGTTAAGGAACCTAAATTCAGATACCATCCTGCAACTCCATTGCCAGTTGTTGTTGGTAGAGAAGCTCGTCATCCTCGCGCTTCCTCTTCTCTTGAAGCTTTTTCAGCTCCGCGGTCTGCGCCGCGAGCACCTCCTGGGTGGAGTTTCGTGTGTGAGCCACCCGCCTTGCTGCATCCGTGCTGTGGCCATGGGCCACCGCTTGCACCAGGTCGGCCACTTTGTCTGCATGAAGCCGAAGCGACCTCCCGATGCCATATATACAGGAAATAAGAGGGTTTCCCCAACGTAGTAGCTTAAATTAAGTTCCTTAACCCCCAAACCCTATATTCTCCCCCAATATGGTAGCTTAAATTCAGCTCCTTAACCCTAAACCCTAAACCCTATAATCTACCACCCAAGATGGTAACTTTAAGTTACGTTCCTTAACAGCAACCCCAGGTAAATAAGAAGTTCCTAAGTCCCATGAACCTGGAAGCCGGCCTTACGGCGGAGGTAGGTTGAAGTTTAGGGTTTGGGGTTTAGGGGTTTAGGGTTTTGGGATTTTGGGGTTTAGGGGTTTTTGGGTTTAGGGGTTTAGGGTTTTGGGATTTTTGGGTTTAGGGGTTAGGGTTTTGGGTTTAGGGGTTTAGAGTTTAGGGTCTAGGGGAGTGGATAAGTAGATGGACAAGTCGATGAACAATGAAATGGATCTGTTTAGTGTAGGTTTGTAAAGGATGTAGGGTCTAGGGTTAAGAGCAAAATCCCCCAGAAAGTGGAACATGCAATGGAAAAGTGTGTGTTTAGGGATTTGGCTGAGAAGTCATACTGTCGAGACCTACATTTTTAGAGCGTAAGTGGAATAGGGTGTTGGGGTATGTTATGCTTTGTCATACAAGGACAAGTCGAGATTCTCCACACTTCTACACTAACTGCGCCTGAGGTCGCCAGCGTGGGCGCTAATATGAGCTGCAGTCTGAACTCCTAGCATTCTCCATCAGAACCTCCAACATACTCCCCTTTAACTTTTTAATCCCCCATTAAACCCTGAACCCTAAACCCTACATAACCCCCCGTTAAGGAGTTTAGACCCTAAACCCTACACACCTTTAAGGAATATAGACACCAAACCCTACACCTTATGGAACCCCCCTCTCAGGAGTTTAGACTCCAGCTCATATGAGCCGCCATAGTCTGAACTCCAAGTATCCCCTTTAATAACCCTTATAGTAATCCATTATATAAGCCTTACATAACCCCCTTTACGGAGTTTAGACTCTAAAAGCCCACACCCGAAACCCTAAACTCTAGACTCTAAAGAAAGGGGCCATATAATCCCACATATAGCCCCCCTTTTAGGGGCCTGGGCCATGTTAAGGGGATCCTGGTGCCTCTGCAGGGTACGATGAACTGTGTTTGCAGAAAGCCGCGGGATGAAGTGGGGTCTGGGGTTTAGGGTTTAGGGGTTAAGGTTTTGGGTTTAGGGTGGCTTAGGGTTCAGAGTTTAGGGTTTAGGGTTCAAAGCGTAGAAGTGAGGGTGTACTTCTAAGCGCTCGCCACTCACAAGCAAAGCTGTCAAGATAAACAAAGACTCTTAGACTTCCGTGCACGAGATGGCCAGGCATTCCTTGAACCCTAAACCCTAAACCCGCAAGGGGTTGGTGCAAGGGCGCCTCCGGTCCTGATAAAAGAATAAGAATGCTTCGGGGGCGGGTTGAGGGTTTGGGGCTTAGGGTTTAGGGCTTTAGGATTTAGGGATTTTCTGGCCCTCTAAAAAAAACGCAAACTCAAGATAGTAGTTTCCATTTTCTTTTCCATTATCCCTATATTACCCCATAAGGTTTAGGTGTTGAATGTATTTTACAACAACTACCGAGCGACGCCTCGCTTTTTTGTATTGAACCTGGTTTGAAACAGTTACTGAGCTCCGCAACTTCCCTCCGAACCCTAAACCCTAAACCACTACATCCTAAACCCTAAACCAGTAAATCCTAAACCCTAAACCACTAAATCCTAAATCCTAACCCCTAAACCCTAAACCCTAAACCACTAAATCCTAAACACTAAAACAGCTTCTCAGCTCTGCAACTCCTCTCCCATTGCATTTTGAGCTAAAGAGGATATTGGTAAGGTGTAGGGTAAAGGGTTTAGGGTATAGGGTGAAAGCCCTTCTGGCGTTGAATTTACTTGAAAACTACGACTCAAGTTTGTTTGGAGGGCTCCCCCTCCACTAAGTCTGGGTACCATTTTTGTTTGGGAGGGGGTCTCGTGTAGTAGACTGATCAGGTCGCAGCACTCGCACGTCTTAAGGAGTCGTACCCGAAAGAATCTAAACATATCGCAACTTGGACTGGTGTAATGTCCGGATTAGGGTTTCGGGGTTTAGGGTTGAAGCCCTTGTCGACCAGTTTTTCTCTACTGAAGGAGGCTGCAGGCATTACGAACATCCTCCATGCCCAGAAACCCTAAACCCAAGACCCTGACACCCCCACACCCCAAAGCCTCACAAGCCTGAAGCACCAAAGTATGCAAAGTGATGGCTTTGTTGGCTAACTTTATGGCTTTCAGGCGATCATCTTACCTATTAGGAGTCCCTAAACCCTAAACCAACCACAGGGCATGTACCATAGTCTAAACTCCTTAAAGGGGGGTTATATAGGGGATTATATAGGGGACTACTATAGGGGTTATTGGGGGGGATACTAGGAGTATAGACTACAACCCCTATAATCCTCTACATAACCCTATATATACAGCAGTTTCCATTTCATTTTCCATTTTCTTTTCCATTTGATTCTCCATTATTAAGCGGAATACCAGGAGTTCAGACTATGGCTC